ATGCTGTGAGCAGTTTATCAGTGCAGAATGCAGTGTATGAGTACAGTGTGTGAATACTGTGAACAGTTTATCAGGGCAGAGTACAGTGCAGAATGCAATGTATGAATACAGTGTGTGAATGTCGAAGGCAGTGTATCAGTGCAGAATGCAGTGTATGAGTACAGTGTGTGAATACTGTGGACAGTTTATCAGTGCAGAATGCAATGTATGAGTACAGTGTGTGAATACTGTGGACAGTTTATCAGTGCAGAATGCAATGTATGAGTACAGTGTGTGAATACTGTGGACAGTTTATCAGTGCAGAATGCAATGTATGAGTACAGTGTGTGAATACTGTGGACAGTTTATCAGTGCAGAATGCAATGTATGAGTACAGTGTGTGAATACTGTGGACAGTTTGACAGTGCAGAATACAGTGTATAAGTACAGTGTGTGAATGCCGTGAGCAGTCTATCAGTGCAGAACGGAGTGTATGAGTACAGTGTGTGAATACCGTGAGCAGTTTATCAGTGCAGAGTACAGTGCAGAATGCAGTGTATGCAGTATATCAGGTGTTGTGTCGTGCATCAAATTGCGTGAATCAGCTTGTGAGTGATTTGAGGCCGTGATCAGAAGAACATACCGGAATGCTGTAGAGGGCCAAGAGATCAAAGGTCCGCTGTAGCATCCCCATCATGGAGACATTCATCTCCAATGACTGCCGGGTGTACTCAGAAGAAGCCTGCAAAAGTATCAGATGCATCAATATTCTGTGGAATATCAAATAAACTGAAATGAAATGACTGTACAAAAATGCAGTAATACATACCGGAGGCAAGTCGGGGACACCGACAAACTCGTGATCAGCCGGCAGAGGGGCGAAGGGGACCAGATAGGTCGCCCCACCCTGCCCTCGGAAGTTCAATAAAGTGGGCAGAACAGGTCAACCGGTCCCCCGTCCCCCCTGAACTCCGCCCTTGCCACGGACTCGGGCCCTCCTCGAAGCTCCTGCTCCAGCTCCTGCTCCTGTCCTAGCCGCTGGCGCCCCGGGCCTGGCTCCCTCAGCTCGACGGACGCCGCTCAGAGACTGCATAATGTACGTCTGCACGTACTCTCGGTAGTCGCCGATGCCTCTAAAGTGGGTCGCCTCCCAGCCAATGGTATAATCGGCCATCTGCTCGGTGGTGAGCCTCTTGGTTTCCCTCATGTCCTCAGAAGGGTGAACCGGGACTATCTACTCCGGTAACCCTAGGGTCTGGCGTAGGAAACGCTCACCTAGGTACCAAGCCCGACAGACCAGGCCCTCCAGCAAGATCCGGAAACGCGAGGTCTCATCGGCACCGGCAAACCGATCCCGCATCACGGCTGGCAAAGGAGCCCAAGGCTGCCAGGTGATCTGAAAATGCAATACAGTTTGTTATCTACTGTTATTGAAATATGCAGTGGAAAGGCGAAGCTTAAATGAACTGCAAGTAAAACATACCTCTGCGGGGGTGATGGTGTCGAAGAAACGGCGGAAGAAGCTGAAAGTCTCTCGTGGCCTCCGGGTGTATCTCCCGTCAAAGCGACGCGAAAAAGGGACGACCAGAGGAGTCTCCATGACTGGCACGGGTGCAAGCCTG